ACTTTACAACTTTGGTGTGTGTGTGGGGAGAATTGTGTGGGGAGGGCAGGGGGAAGCTGGGAAGGGATGTGAAGTGTAAACAAAGGAGGAGGCTGCAATGCTTGGTAAGAAATGTACTCATTATCTTGCCCATGTAATTGTAACCCCTCTGTACAGTATGTTCACAAAAAATAAAAATAAAAAAGAATCAATGAAACAGTTGTTTTTTCATAAAAATTAACAAAACTGACAGACCCTTAGAAAATCTTACCAGAACAAAAGAGAACAAACCCAAAAAAACAAACTCAGAGATGAGAATGGAAACATCACCACAGAAACAACCAAGATTCAGAACATTATAAGGGAATACTTCTCAAATCTTCATGCTAACAAATTTGAGAATCTGGAAGAAATGGATTATTTCCTAGCAAATATCCACATGCCAAAACTAAACCAAGATGAGTTAAACCAACTTAACAAACCCAGATCAAGTATCAAAATAGAAACAGGAATAAGAGACCTCCCATCTAAGAAAAGCCCAGGACCAGATGGATTTACAGTGGAATTCTATAAGGCCTTCAGTGCAGAACTCACACCAATATTCCTCCAACTCCACATTGAAATTGAAAGTTAAAGTTCACTACTAAACTCTTTCTTTGAATCCATCATAACCCTCATCCCAAAACCAGCCAGGGACTCATCAAAGAAAGAGAATTACAGATGCATTTCTTTGATAAACATCAATACAAAACTTCTCAGCAAAATTTTTGCCAATCGACTTCAACAACTCATCCAAAAAAATCATATGCCATCATCAAACAGGATTCATTTCAGGGATGCAAAGCTGGTACAATATACACAAATCAATCAATATAATTCATCACATCAAGAAGAGCAAGGATAAGAACTACATGATTATCTCAATAGATGCAGAAAAGGCATTTGACAAGATCCAATACCCCTTTATGATGAAGATTCTGGAAAAGCTAGGAATCCATGGAACATTTTTCAATATAATAAAGGCTGTGGATGACAAACCTACAACCAGCATTATACTTAATGGCAAAAAGCTAAAGCCATTGCCTCTAAAGTCAGGAATGAGACAAAGATGTATGACTCTCTCCACTTCTCTTCAACTTATCATTAGAATGCCTAGCTAGGACAATAAGACAAGATGAAAACATAAAGGGGATCCAAATAGGGAAAGATGAAATAAAACTCTCCCTCTTTGCAGATGGCATGATCTTGTATTTAAAGAATCTCATGGACTCCACTCCCAATTTACTTGAGCTGATTGGAAACTTTGGCAAAGTAGCAGGGTATAAAATTAAGCCTCACTAATCAATGGCTTTCCTGTATGTCAATAATGAGAAGAATGCATCTGAAATAAGGAAAGCAACCCCTTTTGTAATAGCAAAAATAACTAGGAGTTAACTAAAGAGGTGAAGGACCTCTCTGAAGAAAACTTTAAAAACCTGAAAAAGGAAATTAAAGCAGAACTAAGGAAGTAGAAAAACCCTCTCATGCTCCTGAATTGGAAAAATGAAAGACCCCAAATAGCAAAAACAATCCTTAGCAGAAAGAACAGTGCTGGAGGAATATCAATTCCAAATTTCAAACTCTACTACAAAGCCGTAGTAATGTTATTGTTGTTGTTGACAGTCTTGGAGCTTGAACTCAGGGCCTGGGTTTTGTCCCTGAGCTTTTCATGCTCAAAGCTAGCACTCTACCACTTGAGCCACGGTGCCACTTCCAGCTTTCTCTGTGTATGTGGTACTGAGGAATCAAACCCAGGGCTTCATGCATGCTAGGCAAGCACTCTACCACTAAGCCCCATTCCCAGCCCTAGAAATAATGTTTTAAAACAGCAAAATTAAACAGAAATGCAGATACCACAGTAAGGACAATAATTCAGTATCTGAAATAAAATGATTAATAATGATTATGAAAATGTGGAAAATATTTTACTTTTCAGAGGGGGAAATGCAATATCTATGGTGCAAGAAAATGAAGATGTATATATTCAACACTATTTGATCACTTAGAAGGGGCAGGTACTCTATTTCATGTCAGGACTAATTCACAGAATCTTGGCCTCCAACTGTATCTCACACAGGGTCCAAAAGGAGACAATGTACACAGAAGCAGGAAATGTGTCATATTAGAGTCTAGAGAAACAGCTTCCTTTATATGCTACAGTGCTGTAATTAAAGTGAACAAAGTTATCCAAATCAAAGTTTAAGAACAAAGGAAGCATTCAATTTTGACAGATGAATCTAGAACATGACATGACAGTAAGGAAACTCACACAAAACACCTAGAACTACACTGCCCTAAGCTATGCAATGTTATAGCCCCTTTTCTAGAAGCAATATCCAACTCCAACTACCTACAGCTCACATGCAGGAGATCTAAGGAGGAGAAGCTCAGTTCTTCCTTCCCTCTTTCCAGCAGAGCCACCAAATTACATTTGGACTAGAAAGTAAAATGACATTATGAAAAACAAAAGTACAAAGTCAATTTTTGTGTCTTTTCTGGAGGCAACTGCTCTTTCCATCTTATTCTTTGTTTTTGCCTGGTGCTAGGGCTTGAACTCTGGTCCCGGGTGATGGCCCTGCACTTCTTTTTGTTCAAGGCTAGTACTCTACCACAGCACTATTGAGCCACAGCACTACTTCCAGTTTTTTTTGGAATAGTTTATTGGAAGTCTCATGGACTTTCCTGCCTGGGCCTGACTTTGAACTGTGATCCTCAAATCTCTGCCTCCTGAGTAGATAGTATTACAGGTATGAGTCATTGTGGCCTGGCTTTCCATCTTATTCTTGTGTTACCTTCCAACTGCTGCTTCTGGGTGCCACTGCAGCAACTATTTCTACTTCATTTGAATTCCTGTACCTCAGACATCCCAGAAAGCTTTACTTACACTACCATATATAGCAAATGTGCTTATGAGAATGACTCGCAAAAGTAACCGTAAGCCAGGCCCAAAGAAACATAGGTCCCATGGTTTCCCTTGTTTGCAATGACTAGTACATGTCTAGGACAAGCAGAGAAGGTCAAAGGCTATGTACATATGACCACATGAGATAATGTTAAGCAAAATATACCCCAAGACAGGGACACAAGTGGTTTTTTTCTTTCTTGATAGAATTTTTAATGTACTTAAAATGCACTATATGATTCTTTTGGGTTTTTTTATGTTCTTCCCCCATGGTATAACCCCTGTTTTCACTGGATTTGATTCTGGTGTTCTGCATTGTGTATATACATTTTTTGTAATTTGGGGAGGGGAAGGGATATTGGGGAAGGCTTAAATGAGGATGTAGGCTGACCCACTATGATTAAGTGATGTACAGGACACTATGTTGAAAATGAACTTTACAATACTGGGGTTGGGGAGGCAGGAGGAGTTGGGGAGGTGGGGAGGGAAGTGATGATAGGGGGGAAACAAAGGAGAAGGTAACAATGCTCAGTACGAAATGTACTCATTACCCTACTCATGTAACTGTAACCCCTCTGTACAACATTTTTACAATAAATATATATACAAATAGTAACCAACAGATTTTATCCATTCAATTGCATCTTTTTTCCTTACCAAAAATGGTCACTCAGCCCAATAACAGAATCATCTATCAAATCATCCAAATCATCTTGGATCTCAAGTGCATTTACAGTTAGTAGGTAAATAACACAAAATCATAGACTGCATGTTTTAGAGTTCAATCTAGCTTATTTCCATCCCAAATAGTATCACAGCTTGGTGTCAAGAGTTCAGTTACCTCATCAGCTCTGACAGTAAAAGACAGAGAGATTAGCTCCTGCTACAAATGTTTTTTGAAGACAGGTTGGCTTCAAATTCTCAGACTAAAGTGATCTTCTAGTCTCAACTGCTTGAGTAGCTGGCCTACAGGTAGTTGGCTACAGGTGTACACTACTATACCTGGCAGACACTATGAACAGAAAGAATAATTGGAATGGTCTAGAGGCAACATACCAAAAAAAAAAAGGATTTCCTGAGATGGTTAGCATAACATTAACACTCTAGGTGTGAGTGGGAAGCCTACTGAGTAATTTTTTGGTTAATGAAACACTTGTTCTGAGAGGGGGAGTAGGGCCAATCTGGTTTTAGTTCATTCTACCACTTTTCATGGAGACTTACCTGAATACAAACTCCTGTCTTCAACTTGCACAGGGTGCAAACTAAGGAACATTGGTTGGTTGGTATGTGGGATAACTTTATTTGTTCCATCCTTTCAGGACAAGCAATTCTGACCTACAAATAAAATACCAACATAAGACACAAGAATTAAGCCTGGCATCAGTGGCTCACTCCTGTAATCCTAGCTACTCAGGAGAATGAGATCTGAAGACTGTGGTTCAAAGCCAGGCTAGGCAGGAAAGTCCATGACACTCTCATCTCGAAAAAACTAATCAGCGCTGGAAGTGGCACTATCATTCAAGTGGTAAAGAGCCCACCTTGAGCAGAAGAAGCTCAGGTACAGAGCCCAGGCTCTGAGTTTAAGCCCCAGGACTGGAAAAAAACACAAAAATCATAAAGAACTAAGGCATCGCAGAAGTACCTTTCATAAGCCACAAATGATGTTATATTAGAGGATCAGAACTTCCCAACAGTTAGTGAGGTAAGCCCCCATCTTGCAAGGTTAGAATGGAACCAACAATAAATAAAACATTATCTCTTACCACTTCTCAGTCTTTCAATAATATCCACAAATGCAAATGACTCACATACGGAATGAAAGAGTAAAAATGTAGACTGAGCATGGTTATGAATGAATCAAAGATGTTCATGTTTACTTAGTAACCAGAGAAGGCTAAGGAAAAGAATTCAAATTCACAAATACTGTAATTTCTGTCATATGTTAGAGACGGTACCACATTCCTTGCTGATTCATTTAATTAGTGAAGGATATCTTTACATTTGGTTTACCAATATTGCTGGAAGGCAGCAAAACTTCTATGTAAAGAAGAATTTATAGTATATAAGTAGAAATAAAGGTAACATGTCAAAGCCAAATCTTTCAAACCACAAACTACTATTGGCTGACTCTACACCCTCAGCCAAAGTAGCTTTAAAGTGAAATTGGTTTTTAGGATAGTGATAAAAGGCAAGGAATGGACAAAAAAAGAGATGGACAAAACTCTTTTCTGCATGAAAAATTAAGAGTTCACATAACTTTACAAATATATACACAACTAAGAAACAAGTTAAAAAAGTGAATAACTGTCAAAGATGGCCAAACTAGCACAAGTTCTACCCAGAATAGTCCAAAAGATACTGGAAAGTGAGAACTAGGAGCCATAAGAAAATGCTTCTATTTGAGAAAGTTTGTTGTATTTGTTTTTGTAGGTCATAGGGCTTGAACTTGGGCATGGGCACTGTCTCTGAGCTTTCTTGCTCAAGGTTTCCAGTTTTCTCTTGTTTATAATTGGAGATCAAGTCTCATGGAGTTTCCTGCCTGGGCTGGCTTTGAACCATTATCCTCAGATCTCAGCCTAAATAGCTAGGATTATAGGCATGACCCACTGATTATTTTTATTGTTATTATTAAGGTGAAGTACAGAGGGATTACAATTACATGAGTCAGGTAATGAGTACATTTCCTTTCATACAGTGTCTTCTGTTCCCTCATTATCTCCCAATCCCTCCCTCCTGTCTCTACCCACCAGTTGTATAGTTCATTTTCTTCTATGTCCAGTGAGCTCCACTGATGGATTTTTTTCACCCTTTCCCCTCGAGTTCTGTACCCTTCCCTTCCCCTGAAGATAAAACACTTGATTACACCATACAAAAAGAAGACAGAGGGCTGGGAAGGTGGCTCAGTGGTAGAGCGCTTGCCTTGCATGCTCAAGACCCTGGGTTCGATTCCTCAGCACCACATAAGCAAACAGAAAAAAGCCGGAAGTGGCGCTGTGGCTCAAGTGGTAGAGCGTTAGCCTTGAGCTGAAGAGCTGAGGGACAGCGCCCAGGCCCAGAGTTCAGGCCCCACGACCGGACCCAAAAAAAAAAAAAAAAAAGACAGAACATCAAAAATTAAAATTAAAAAGCAGAGATTTCTTGTTTCTGTATCTTGGAGTTTCTAATTTTATAAATATGAAGAGGCATGTAAACATTTTACCTTTTTCTTTCCTAAGAACATCCTCTTTTAGCCTTTGACTGATGTATTGTTGGTTATATTTTCCCAGTCTGTTGGCTATCTTTCTAGTTTACTATGTCCTTAGCTGTGCAGAAACTTTTTATTTTGATGGAGTACCACTTGTCAAGTCTCTCTCCTATCTGTTGCGCCCCTAGAACTCTTTTCAAGAAGTTCTATCTATACCTGTAAGTTCTAATGTTTGTCTCACTCTCTCTTGTAGTATGACAAATTTTCAGGTCTGATGTTGAGGTCTTTGATCCACTCTGAATTGATATTATTGCATGATGATAAACAGGGATGGACTCTTATTTCTCTATATATGGATGCTCAGTTTTCCCAACACCAACTAATCAAGAGCCTGATATAGTGGCGGAAGTAAAGATGGAAATAATATTTGACTTGGATTGTGTAAAACGGATAATGAATGATTTGGAGATATAAATGTAAGTGTGCTGTGGATAAGCCTACCATGGAAACTAGGTATTTTAGCTAGTAACTGTAATTGTAACTCTGTAACCCTGTAACTCTGTAACTGTTTCAGCTGTTTTGCGAATAATACCAGCCCTATTCTATTCCCCTGCTTCCCACCAGCAAAACCTTGGCAGGAAATTTAAATTTAGGGTGCAAATTTCTTGTAACAATCACTGGCTAAAACCAACACCCAACACCCTCCCCCTTTCCCCACCCTAGCCCAAAATATTTAAAAGCTGATGAGGGCTGGCACTTGGGCCATTTCCTGGGATCCTGACTCCAGGTGCCGTCCTGGCAAGTCAGCACTTTTCACTCAATAAAATCTTGTACATTTTCACTGCGAACTGAGTGGTCTCACTGCACCTCCCCACTACAAGCCTATTTGTTGCACTGTATGTTTTTGGTTCCCTTATCAAATATCAGATAACTTTAAGGGTATGGCTTTATTTCTGGGCCTTCTAATCTATTTCATTGATCTTTGGCTATTTTTTTTGTTGCCAGTCCTGGTACTTGAACTCGGAGCCTGGGCACTCTCCCTGAGCTTCTTTTAGCTTTTAGCTTTCTTTTAGCACATGAGCCAAGCACCACTTCTGGCTTTTTCTGTCCATGTGGTACTGAGGAATCAAACAGGGCTTCATGCATGCTAGGCAAGCACTATACAACTAAGGCACATTCCTAGCCCCTCACAATGGAACTTCTGGGATACAGCAAAAGCAGTGCTGAGAGTTTGTAGCTCTAAGCCCACACATAAAAAAAACAGAAACATGAGCTGGGAAGGTGGCTCAGTGGTAGAGTGCTTGCCTTGCAAGCATGAGGCCCTGGGTTCGATTCCTCAGCACCACATAAGCAAAAAGAAAAAAAGCCAGAAATGGCTCTGTGGCTCAAGTGGTAGAGCACTAGCCTTGAGCTGAAGAGCTGAGGGACAGTGTCCAGGCCCAGAGTTCAGACTCCATGACCAGACCCCAAAAAAATAAAAACAAAAACAGAAACCCTCAAGTAAATAACCTCATGATGCAACAAAAACTGCTAGAAAAAGAACAAACCAAATCCAAAACTACTAAATGGAGAGACGGAGAGTGATAGCAAAGATTAGGGCAGAAATCAATGAAATAGAGACTAAAACACTATACATAAAATCAATGAAACAAAAAGCTGTTTGGGGGGAAAATAATAAAACTGATAGAGCACTAGCAAGACTGATGAAAAAGAAGGATAAGATTCAAATCAATAAAATCAGAGATGCCACAATAAACATTACAACAAATATCCAAGAAATCCAAATGATTATGAAGACTACTTTCAAAACCTATACTCAAAAAAGAAGGAAAACCTAGCAGAAATGGACAAATTTCTAGAGATATACAAACCACTTAAGCTGAACCAAGAAGATATAAACCAGTTAATCAAGCCAATAATACACAAGATTGAGGAGATAATCAGAAGTCTTCCAACAAGGAAAAGCCCAGGCCCAGATGGATTCACTGGTGAATTCTAATAAGATTTTTAAAGGTGCACTAATACTAGTATTCCTCAAGCTTTTCTGTGAAGGAAATAGAGCAATTTCAGACTCAAAATCACATAAGAATCCAACCAAAAAAAAGAGAATTACAGACCATTTCTTTGATGAACACAGATGCAAAACTCTTTTAATAAATACTAGCCAACAGAATCCAGAAACAAATAAAAAAAATCGTACATTATAACCCAGTCTTCATCCCACAGATACAAGACTGATTTAATATACACAAATTAATAAATGTAATTGACCATATCAACAGAGACAAGAACTACATGATCATCTACTTCAATAGATACAGAGAAAGTCTTCGACAGATCAAGGCCACCATGAGCTTCCCAGGAACTCAGTCCCAAAAGCAAAACAAAACAGGAGCTAGAGATGTACCTGAGTGATAGAGGATTTGCCTAGCATATGGCCTGAGTGTTGTGCCCAGTACTACTCTAAATAAACAAAATCTCCAGAAGAAATTGCCAGGTGTGTTTAATGTATACATACACACACACAAACAAAAAATGGATGGTCCTTCAACACAGCAGTTAAAGACAGCTGTTCTGATTGAGCAACGAATAAGAGATTTACCTTACATTTAAAAAATAACCTGCCCTTGAATGATGAACAAGTAAATATAACCTGGAATTAAATACTCTTTTATGATAGAGAAAGCAACTCCAGAAAGCCTTATTGTATCCAAAGCACCACAAATACTACTTTCAAAACTAACATATCAAATTGATCACTATTATTTCACAACATTAATGCAAAACACAAGACTCAGATTGTACATATTTTGAAATGAATATGTGTGTATATATATTACATATATATATCAATGGAAAAATTACTGTGTTTCATTTTCCAGCCCAATATAGCCTCCATTTATAAAAATCAGTAACAATGTCAGGGCCCTTATCATTAACCTCTTTTCCTGGAACCAACCCAATTTTACTTGGATTTTTTCACTTCATGAAGAAAATCATTTCTCCATCATGTGACAGCAATTATTTGTTCAGGCTCAAGACCCCTAGGAAAGCCACTTGGATTGTCACCAGCATTTCTTTTATCATTCGATGTGCTATCATCATATTCACTGGCAGATGAACTCGCTCCTTGAGAATTTATGAAAGCCCTGATTAAATCAGCACAATCTAAAGTTTCTTCTGGTACCCAGGTATTATCAGCATCTGAATATCCCTTCCATTTCAGGAGATAGTCTACCTTGTCTGATACTACACGCCGCTCCACTATTTTCTCCACTTCAAATACTTGTCTCTGGTTATTCAACTTTTTCATAATTTCTACTCTGTTTCTTCCTTCTTTTGGGCAGTGTAGTTTCCTTGGAGGCCATCTGTTAATTGGATATTGAAGAGCTATTATTATCCACCTCAGATGTTCCAGGTTGTGATCTTGTAGACACTTTGGCCAGCAAGCCTCAAGCTCCAGTTACCTCCAAGGGATTATTTGTAATTTTTTATAGTAAGTACTGGGAAAAGAAAAATACACCAATCCAAATCAATTGTGAAACTTCCTAAATTACCATGTTTGCAGATCTAAAAACTGTTCATCCCTGTGACATGTTCCTCAGCAACAAACTAGCTTCTAGTAATAGACAAAGCAGACCACTTAAGCATGGCCAGGGTGTTAAAAGCTAAATTGTCATTGGAAACCATAACCACAAAGAGGCCAAAACACCAAAAATATCCTTAACAAGACAAACCATAAGCAATGTATGAAAATAAAGAGTAAAATAACTCCTCATAGCATTTAGCGAGAAATATATTACCTACAGAGGAACATTGATTTACATGCTAACATACCACATTTTCCTTTGGGAACATTTTTCAAATGTAAAGAATTGTTAACTCTGAATTCCAGGTTCAGAAAAAATATCCTTCAGGAATCGTAAGAAATAAAGACATTCTCAAATGACAGAAAATACAGGAAAGCTTCCCTAGCAGATGTATCAATAATGACCATCTAAAGGAAGTTATCCACAAAAAAGGGAAACAATACCAGAAAAAGGTTTAGAGCTTAAAAAAGAAAAGCAAGACATATGTAAAAATCAAGGTAAGTATAAGAGACACTCCTTTAACTGCAGTTTGCAATCATATTTACTGGCTGAATGAAAAGTTGTAATACCCTATGGGTTCTATATAAAAGAAATATATATATTATAAAGAAATAGATGATAAATTTATATTCCAAGAGCTGGACATGTGGATGAAAGGGTGGAACAACTGTCTACAAAACACCAAGCTCAGAGTTCATATCTCAGTACCAACAAAACAAAGCACATTCCGTGAGTAGGAGGATAAAAGGACAACCTATATGAAAATAACTTTTGTCCACTTTAGTAGAAGTCAAAAATAACAACAACACTAGAGTAGGACTAACTATATTCATACATTTTCATATCTAGAGTGACTATGAACTAAACTATACAAAATATACTCAAAATACTAAATAAGTCCAAATATTTGAGTACCCCACAGAAAGGCAAGAAAAGGAAAACAGGAGTGAGAACAGAGAAACTGACAAAAACAAAAAATATATATAAAATATTAGAATTAATGTAATTTTTCCCAAGTCTTTCCATTTCCTTACAAATGGAGCAATGCCATTCTTTCTGATGGAAGTGTAGAATTCCATTATGTATATATACCACATTTTCTTGATCCCTTTGTCCACTGAGGGGCATCTGGGTTGATTCCATATCTTAGCTATGGTAAACAATGCTTCAAGGAACATGGCTGTGCAAAGTCCAAGTAAGCCAAACCCAAAGAAACATATATGCATGATTTCCCTCATTTATAATAATAACAATTTGACTATAAATCTTCCAGCAAACCTAATGGAGAGTAAAGTATAAAAAATTACATTAGGACATGGTAAATTAAACAAGACTCTATAAACACACAGTGAGACCAAAGGAGGTTAGTCTTAAGATCAAAATGGCTCAATAGCTATGTGCATATGATCATATAAAACCATGCTTATGGAAATTAACTGCACAGAACAGGAACAGGAGTTTTAATATACTGTTGTGATCCTTTTTTCTGTTTTTCCCCCTTTTTTCTCTGTTTTTTGTATTTCTGTATCCTTTGTCTTGTATGTAATTTTATCTGATTTGGGGAGAGGAAGGGGAAGCACAGAAACAGTGGGACAAAGGGTGAACTAATATAGCAATGATAATCACTAGACACTATATTGGAAATGAACTATACAAATGGGGGAAAGGGGTGCGAGGGAAAAAACTGGGAAAAATAAAGGAGGAAGTGATACTTCTTGAAATGAAATGTACTCATTACCTGACTTATGTAACTGTAGCCCTCTTTACATCACCTGTATACTACAAATTTTAAAAAATAAATAAAATAGTATGTTCAAACATAAATAAAAAAATAGACTTTCCAGATGCCAGTGGCTCATGCCTTTAACCTTAGCTAATCTGGTGGCTGAGATCTTGTGGCTCTTAGTTTGAGGTCTGCTCAGAATGAAGAGTCTTCTAGATTCCATTCTCAAAAATGCTAGTGAAAAATAGGGCAGGTAGAGTGGCTCAAGTGCTAAATAAAGCACCAGCCAACCAGGCATGAAGGTCTGGATTCAAACCCCAGTACTGCAAACAGAAAGCTATACCTAAGCCCAATAATTATGTTCAGATTAAATGGTCAAAATAAATGCATGAAAAGGTATTCACCAAATATTTCTTCTTTTAAGCCCATGCATAAAATAAAGTCTTTTAAAATAGTAATATATGCTGTCTCCATGAAACTCACTCCAGGAATAATAATAGCACAGTGAGGTAAAGAACTGAAAGGAAGAGAACAATATATTACACAAACCCAAAATTTCAAGAACAGGAATGGCTATATATCAGTATCAAGACTTCCAAAAGGCCTCTCCCACTCCAGTCACCTAGGATGTGTGATTACTCCAGCAAAAAGTTCTAACAACACAAATGAAATGTTGTCTATCAGAGAAGCTTGCTAAAAAATGCAATTCCTGAGACATTTAGGGGGGCTGGTCATGTGGAAAGCCCTGCCTAGGAAACCACAGCCTAGCCACACTCTATGTACACTATATGAGCACAGACAAACAGTCTTGTAGGTTCTAGTCAGATTTGAGGGGAACATTTTCCAAATCTAAGTTTTACACTCATCCAGAGATTTGTTTTGCCATTAGGCCTTTCCAAGTTGAGCTGTCAGGGCTACTGGGTTAACTCTTTTCTGTACAGTTGGAAATCAGGAGACATCTTATTCTAGGGTGAACCACATTTGTGCAAACAAGTTATGTGCAGTGAGCCACTCTGATCAGTACCTGCAAATGGTGAGACTCTCCTAAAATCAAGTTCCTAAATGTTCACAGAGGCTTTGCTTTCTTACTCTTATTTTGGATAACTTCCCACAGTATATTATGTGATTGCAGGATTTTCCTAACACCAATACCAGACAAAGACAAAACTACACACATTTATCTTCCATCAACTTTCACAAAAAATCTGCCACAAAATATTAGTAGTATAGAATCTGTCAAGGTCTAAAATTCAATTTTACCATTTCTACAGATTGTATTACAATGTGTACAAAGTTGATTCAAAAAAATCAATGTTTAGTCAATTCAATTCAATCTACCACAAGTTAAAGAAATTATACTTGATAAAACTCAACTTCACTTTTTTATTTTTTTATTTCATTGTAAAGATGCTGTAAAGAGAGGTTATAGTTACATAAATAAGGTAATGAGTATATCTCTTGTCAAACATCATTCATTACCCACTCCTTTGTTGTTTTCCCACTATCCCTTCCCTCCCCCAACCTGTCCACCTACCCCACAGAAGTTGTAAACTTCATTTCTGACATAGTATCTTTTGAGTTTCTTGTTGCAATGGGTCATCCCTAAAGAATTAAAAAGAGACTTCTCTGGGGAGGAAATAAGAATGGCCAATAGACACATGAAGAAATGCTCAACATCACTGGTCATAAAAGAAAGGCAAATCAAAACCATATTGAGATTCCACCTCACCCCAGTTAGAATGTCCATCATCAAGAAATCAAATAATAACAAATGCTGGCAGGGATCTGGCCAAAAGGGAATGCTACAACACTGTTGGTGGGAATGTAAGCTGGTTGAACCACTCTGGAAGGCAGTATGGAGGTTCCCACTTCAGAAGGCTTATGGTTATTTAAATAAATTTCCAGAATTTAGGTTTGTTTTGGTGCAAAGCCAGCCAAGGCAGAAAAGTCTGTGAGACTCTTATCTCTAATAAAATACGCAGAAAAAGCTGGAAGTGGTACTTTGGCTCACATGGTAGAGTGCTAGCCCAGGCCCTGAGTTCAAGCCCCAGGACCTACAAAAAATGACAAAATCTTATTGATAAATCTGCTTACTATTGAGTATAAATCACAGTGAAATAAAAACTTCTAGAGCTGGGTATGGTGGCTCACACATAATCCTAGTTATTCAGGAGGCAGAAATCTGAGAATCAGTTTGAAGCCAGCCTGGGTAGGAAAGTCTCTGAGACTCTTTAACTCCAATTAACCAGCGAAAAGCTAAGGGACAGCGCCTTGGCTCAGCACTGCAGTACTTGTACACATATACATGCACATACACACAGAATTGTTGAAATAACTAGACACTGATTTTGAACTTAAGGCTTTATTTAAGGTAGTGAAGATATTTTACCATTTGAATCATTTCTATAACCCTTTTGAATTTTCATTATTTTTAAGTTATTTTAAGAGGCTGTACTCAGGGCTTAGGCCTTGTCCCTGAGCTTTTGTGTCCAAAGCTAACACTCTTCCAATTGTGCCACAGCTCCACTTCCAGCATTTTTGGTTGTTAATTGGAGATAAGAGTCTCATGGACCTTCCTGGCTGAGCTGACTTTGAACTGCAAGATTCAGATTTCAGCCTCCTGAGTAGTAAGATTACAGGCATAAGACACTGATGCCAGGCCAGCTCTGCCTATGAATTTTCCCCCAAAGGAAATACTTACACAATGTAACTGTTATTTAGTAGTTTGTTATACTAAATTCTATTAAAATTCAAGACTAAAGACAAAACACCAAAAGTCAAAGTTCTCATATTCCCAAGTTAATGAGGCTAAAGTGGCTTGAATATTACTTGCTTTATACACCCACGTTCCTGGCTATATTGGAGCTTCATGTGTCCTGGATCCTACTAGTCACCAGAAATATTCCTGTGAGAGGAAAAGTACTAATATGGTAGGAAAGAAGCTGACTAGGCCATTACAATGCCTTGCAGCAACACAGATCTGGCCGTAACCTATGATCA